CCTTGACCTGCTGGGCTCTGGTGATCCTTCTGCCTCAGCCTTCCAAGTAGCCGGAATTACAGGCACGCGCTACCACGCCTGCCTAATTTTTTGATTTATTGTAGAGATGAGGTCTTGCCAAGTTGCCCAGGCGGTCTCGAACCCGTGGGCTCAGGCAATCCACTCACCTCGGCCTCCCAAAGGTGCGGGATTACAGGCTGAGCCTCTGAGCCCGGCTTCTGTCTTACCATTTCAAATCCCTCCTGAAATCACCCTGTCCCGTCCCCTATTTGTTTCCATCTCATTCTGAAACTTACTTACGTTAAAGTCCTTGTATGGTAATTCCAATGTGCAGGTCATCTGTGGATCTGTTTCTATGGACTGATTTTTCTCTTAACTAGGAGTCTTCTCTCTTTTTCTTTGTGTGCCTTACAAATTTGTTTGCCAATGACTGTGTCTTTAAAAAAGCAGTCACGGTTGATGTCCTTTTTAAAAAATATTTGAACATATGTTTTTTACTGCCACCTCAAGAGGAGGAAACACCCTCTCCCCTGTTGGTTTTGTAGAGTGAGGATGGACCAGTCTGATCCACTCACAAGCTGAGCTGGCTTGGGATGCAATTGCAACTTTAATCCCTCTACCTCCCTCTGTGTCTCTGCCTCCGTGTCTCTGTCTCTCTCCTTCTCTCTCTCTCTCTCCCTGGCTACTCCCTCTTCCCCAGCCCTGGTATACTCCTTTCAGCTAACCTGTTTCCCCCACCCCGTCTCCTTCCACCTGGAAGCTCCTGGCTGAGGAGAAGGCAGCCGTGCTTCGGGCCGTGGAGGAGCGTGAGCGGGTGGAGGCCGAGGGCCGAGAGCGTGAGGCGCGGGCCCTGTCCCTGGCACGGGCGCTGGAGGAGGAGCAAGAAGCCCGCGAGGAGCTGGAGCGGCAGAACCGGGCACTGCGGGCTGAGCTGGAGGCTCTGCTGAGCAACAAGGACGACGTCGGCAAGAGCGTGAGCAGGGCCCGTGGATGAGGGGGGACGCGTCCACACGTGCGCGCGCACACACAGCGTGAGCAGAACCAGTCCATCAGTCACGTGTCCATGCACAGACAGGTCATGAGGAGAGCTGCACACCAAGCATCTGTGTATGCACGTATGCAGAGCATGAGGAGAATCTTCTGACAGATACGTGTGTCCATGCACACACAGAGAAACCAGGGAGAGCCGTTCGCCAGAGATGCTTGTTCATGTGCACCCACACGGAACATGAGGGGAGTCTTCCACCGAACATACGTGTTCACATAGAGCACATGAGAGCCGCTCATAGAGCATATATACTCTCATTCGTGTGCCTGAAATGTGAGGAGACTCTTCCGCACATGTTCACAGACACAGCAAAGCATGTGAAAACTAGTTGCACATGTGGGTCTGCATGTTTTCCTGTGTTTGCCGTGAACAAACTTCACATGCAGAACACGTGCAAACTACTTGTCACATGTGTTCACACATGTTCACATGTGCACACATGTTCACATGGAGCGTGAACACTCACTATCTGTGTGTCAACAATTGTTCCTGTGTTCACATACACAGCATGAGAAAACTACTTGCCACATGTGTTCACATATGTTTGTATGTGAACAAATGTGTCCACACAGAGCATTGAAAACTACTTGCTGCCAGGTGTGGTGGCTCATGCCTGTCATCCCAGCACTTTGGGAGGCAGAGGCGAGAGGACTGTTGCCTGAGCCTGTGGCGAGACTTTGTCTCTACAATAAATCAGAAAATTAGCTGGGCATGGTGGCGCACGTCTGTGGCTCCAGCTACTTGGAAAGTTGAAGCAGAAGGATCTCCTGAGCTCAGCAGGTTGAGGCCGTGCTGAGCCGTGAGCATGCCACTGCACTCCAGCAGTGACTCAAAAAACAAAAACCAAAAACTACTTGCCACGTGTTTATATGTTCATGGGTGGACACATATGTTCACATGCATACACACAGCATGAGAAAACTCATAAACAGTTACCTAGAGAGAGAAAAAGAACACGAAGAGAATTTGCCACAACACAGGCCTGAGAACACTCCCTGGGCATGACTACACACACGTGTGCACACACACACAGCATGAGGACTCCCCTCTTTGCCTTCTGCCACCCCTCCTGAGCACACACAGACTCTCCCAGCAGGCCTCGGTCTTCCCTGAACTCCAAGGCCTGTGGGGTGCCTTGTTCCCAGGCCCCATCACCCGGCCACCACATTCTCTACTCCATCCTTCCTTCCTTTACCCGTGACGTACATTTGTGGACTCAGGCCTAGGGACACATGCCACCTCGCGAATAATGGAAGGCCCTGACAGGCTCTGTTGTATCCTGGGGTAAACATCCTCTGCATCCTTATTCCTGTGATTCCCAACAGCATATCCCTAGGGGGCTTTATCTTCTTTGCACACTTTGATGTTGATCTGATGCATTTTTAGCCAGGCCTGGAGAGAGCCACCTCCCCCTCCAGCCCGAAGATGCTGGAGCTAAAACTCAGCTCATACTTGGACCATACAGAGCAATCCTTTGGGAAAAGCGTTGAGTGATGCCAGAGGCATTTGTGGCAAATAGAATGTTGATAGGAGAAAGTTGGACCCCTTCAAGTAAACAAATTGGCAGGGGCCAGCTGGGCATGGTGGCTCACACCTATAATCCCAGCACTTTGGAAGGTTGAGGCAGGTGGATTGCTTGAGCCCAGGAATTTGATACCAGCCTAGGCAACACAGCAAGACCTTGTCTCTACAAAAAAAATTTTTAAAATTATCTTGGCATGGTGCCACATGCTTGTAATCCTAGCTACTCAGGAGGCTGAGAAAGAAAGATCACCTGGACCCCAGAGTTTCAGGCTGCCGTGAGCTGTGATCATACCACTAAACTCCAGCCTGAGTGACAGAGTGAGACCCCAACAAAAAAGAAAAAAATATATATACATATATAGAGAGATAGAGAGAGGTGTAAATTATACAATTTGCCAAATCAGAAGGGAGACTGGTGGGCCCATTACAAGGGCTGAAATTAGATACTGTCACTGGTCAGAATTTCTTTTTCTTTTTCTTTTTTTGAGTTGGAGTCTCACTCTGTCCCCCAGACTGGAGTGCAGTGGCCGCTCCTGGGCACTG